ACAGCGCAGTTGCTCATTCCATCTCTTCTTTTTTCCTGCTGCTCTTGTTTGACAAGCTGAATGTTGACTGGTGTTTGACTGAAGTAAGCTCTGTGAAAAGTTCCAGTTATTAACTCGGTATTTACAAAGCTGTCATCTCCACATTTGGAGAAAGTTACAAGCCGTTTGACAGCAGCACATCTGCATATTTCACAGAAGGCTCGTTTAGTGGTTTTGCAAATAATTAACCACTCTCTGTTTTTGTACCATTCTGCATTGAAGTACCTTCTCTTTGCCCAAATAAGCTTTTATTTGCCCGTCACAATGTCCCGACAACAAACCTCCATGCAGTCGGAACCAGCCTGTTTCGGTTCAACGATGCAGAGCTGCTGCTGGGGTTCATCTGGCTGCGCTGGTTCTATGGTTGAAGGACCAGGCTCCGGAGTTGTGGATGTCAGGGATGTGACATTCAAGTTGTTGAATTTCAGCTTAGTTTGACTGTATTTTGTTTTCTTATGCGCCGGTTCTTCTGACATGTTTGCAAGTTTATCTATCTAGGTTAACGGCTGACACACACTGAACAACGTAACACATAACGTAAACAACGTAACAAATAAACACATCTAAGCTTTGTTATTGGTTGTAATGTACATGGATACATTTGAATGGTGTGACAATGTCCTATTTGATTGGATTAAAATGTACATATTCTTCCTGTTATGTCTGCCTGCTGTATTTTACCTAATGCAAAGTGACCTGCTCCATCGAAATCAGTCATATTGATCCGAAGACACATTTTGAGTTGTATACACTGTTGGAAAGAGGAGATTCCTAGCTTTCTAATGATATCAAGATTGTTTTTGTACTATATTAAGCAAAATATGTCACATGATATAATGACTGTCACCGAGTCATCATTTTGAGAAAAAGGCCTTAAAGTTTCCTCTTCTCTGGATCGATCTGATTGATTATTAGCGGAGCAAATGATCAAAGTAGTACGGAGGGAAGATATTTTCGTTTGGATTACTGGTCTGGGGGGAGCTCGCGAGTGTGTGTGTGTGTGTATAGCACGTTTGTGTATTTTTGCGTTTGTTTCCCGGGGAAAACTTTCAGGAGAAACACCGGCTGTTGTTATGCTTGCTGTGACGTCAAATTACTCCGTTCTCCGCTTGTAATTATGCCGTTAAAAGCTTCAAAGCTGTATTTATCACCTGAATTTGCCGAAACAAGTTTAATATTCTGAAAGCCAAGACTTTGTTTATTTGAAATCAGATGAAAACAAACTGTAACGGACCCTGCGGTGTTATCTATGATTACTATGCCTTACATTCATAATGTCAGCGGAGGGAGGGGAAGCGGCGCTGTAGAAGAGCAGAGTGGCGAGTGAGAGGCGAGCTGTGTTCTTCCCTTTACAAGCTTCAAAAATGCCTGTAGCTAATGAGATTGAATATAACAATCAACAATAACAAAATATACACAGCTAGATCAGATGGCGTTCTTTTTAGATGCGACTTTAGAGTAGAGGGGAATTATTGAAACGGGATGGGTACAGGGTTCCGCGGCATCCGCTGCTGCGAAAATGTGGGGCAGGGCCGTAAAGTGGGGGGGCCAATGGCCCCCTGGCCCCCCCGCTTCCGGCGCCCTTGACTCAGAGCCGTAACATATAGCAGGCAGCAGATCCAGAGATCCAGCAGACTCGTCCCCATGCACGAATCTACAGCAGACTCAGCCCCTCCTCCGGCTCGCACGGCTCCCGCGAGTCCCACGGCTCCCTCGACGAGTCGCAGCAGACTCAGAGATTTGCGGACTCACGGCTCACTCACGGCTCACTCACGGCTCACTCACGGCTCACTCACGGCTCACTCACGGCTCCCGCGAGTCCAACGACTCACGGCTCACTCACGGCTCACGGGACTCTCGCGGGAGCCGGAGGAGGGGCTGAATTTGCTGTTGATTCGTGCATGGCGACGAGTCTGCTGGATCTCTGGATACAACAACGTTGTAATGTGATTGTACACGTTATAAAGAGAGTAAAGAGTGACGTAATTTATAGTTTTAATTGTTACGTCACATCAGGTGTAGGACTCAAAGGACTCGGGTTAATCGAGAGGGAGACTCGTCACGACCGGCTCATTACTAGGATCCGGGTTAATGATCCGGATGAATCATGACTCGCCCATCTCTACTGGGAGAGACTACGCAGGTCATTTCCTCATATTCAAAAAAATGGAGGGAAAATTCATTATAGCGGTAGTGAATCACCCGGTGCTGTATGATCAGTTTCTGTTGATCTACCGGGATACAAACCGGAGGAGCGAGGCATGGAGGGAGGTGGCAGAGACAGTGGATGAAACTGGTAGGTTTTCGCCTGTTTGGGGATTTTATATCCAGTTTACTTCGTTTTAACATTGCTATTGCTTTGTATGTCGGGGGCGGGAGATTCATGTGATTGGTTGTTGGTCGCGTTGCTCGCAAAAAATCGCCAAGCCTCAGACACGCCCAGCTTCAAGCTTTTTCGACGCCTGTAGTGTAGACGGGCCGTAACGGTAAACCCCAGAAAAGTAAGTCCAGCACAAGTTGAATCCATATAATACATGTTTTTATCTTGATGAGAAACTGTAAGAAATGATCGGGGAATCCCTCCGGAGTGGAGTCATGACGACTGGATCTGAATTTTTTTTTTTTTTTTTTTTTTTTTGTATATGGTCGTTTGTGTCCAAGCTGTCGATCAGCTGTGCGTCTCCACTGCCTGTGTAGTTTAGTGAGTAGTTGTTTGCCTGTGTGTGTGTTGGAGGGAGAGAATAGCTGTAGGTCTAACTAGAGGAGATGGATCCAAACGTTGTTTAACAACGTTTGGATCCATCCCCTCTAGTTAGCCCTACAGCTATTCTTACATTCTCACTTATAAACCATATTTATCCTGATGGCTTGACTAGCAAACAAAGTTTGTTATCAAGAGAAGAGCTGAGTCCTTCAGTATTAAAGGTAACAATGTCAGACAAGTGGTCTTCAGAACATCATCTACTATGATAACACTCAATACTGTGTATAATTATGACATTTCAATACTAGATGGGGATCTGCACTACATATGCAGGAGAAAAAGAGATAGGGCTGAGCACCTTGCAAAAGTTGTGGTATCAGCAAAAGAAGCCAACAAGCTCGTTGAGTTCCACTGCAGCCATTGGTGGACACTTTGGAAGGGAAAAGACTCACGAGGCCATAATTAAAAGATGGCCTGGCATGGAGTAGGACATCCGCAAGTGGGTGAGTTAAAAAATAATGAGGTAAATTACACATTATGGTACAAAAGTGTAACACAGAAAAGTTCATAGTGTTTATTTGTTCAGATTCTTCAGTGTCCCCAGTGCCTATCAAAGAGGGCCACTGTCAAAGAGAAGACGGAGTACAGTCCTATAGAGGTACAAGACAGTTTCAGCTTTTAAACATGTCAACAGTGATGTACTGCGATGCTCATGTGTTGTTTTCCTTCTCAGGTAACAGAGCCTCTGGAGCTTGTTGGAATGGACCTAATGGGTAAACTCACAGTAACAGATGGTGGCAATCAGTACATATGTGTCATGGTTGATTATTTCACCAAATGGGCAGAGGCATACCCACTTAAAAGCAAAACAGCAGATGAGGTCAGCAAATTGTATTATTGATTTATTTTACAAATTTGGTGCACCAGAAAGACTGCTAACAGATCAAGGCGGGGATTTTGAAATAAGGTACTTTGAAGCATTATGACTCCCCATTATGTAACTGTGCTGTGCTAACTTATTTCCTGTTTGTCCCAATGTTCACTTCAAGGTCAACTATAGCCTTTGTGAGAGGCTGGGCATTAAAAGAAACATGTGCATGCCTTACCATCCACAGACAAATGGGCTTGTAGAAAAACAATACAAAGGTATATTTGTTCATAGAATAACAAACATTGTTCCTATATTAACTAATCAGAATTGATACCTAAAAAAACAACGAGTAAATAAATCAGCTGCTTCATCATATATTAGAAACCAATTTCTGTTCTACTTTCTTGTGTTGGTACTTTACCTGAATGTAGGTCCCTGAACAAACTGGTGGCAGGTGAGCCAAAACGGTGGGACCAACTCCTTCAAGGGACAATGCTTGCTCTTTGAACAAAGACGCAGTTGACCACAAAGTTCAGTCCCTATTATCTGGTGTTTGGGAGGTGCCCATCAGAGGTGCCCAAGGAGTACGAAGTAAGATCTGCTAATGTTCTCATCCTTTTGAATTCATTATTTATTTCAAACATCTATGTTTTCTCTACATTCTAATGGTTTTCTGTGGCAGATAACAGAAGACAAAGTCTGCAGCTTGGTGGAAAGGGAGGATATCTTCGAGGGACTCAAATCACAGGAGGCAGTTTTCACCGGGGTGAAAACCAACTTTAAAAAAAGCCAAGATAAGGTCCGCAAGAGGAAACTACCGGATTTTAACAATTGAGGGGAAAATAGCTGACATTGGGACAGAAAAGGGTAAAAGGACAATGAAAATCAACATTGACAATCTGTCACACTATGTCCAGCCAGAGGAGAGGATCCCTGCTAAATAAATAAAGTGTTGGATCCTTATTGTCTGGCTGGTCCACTGAAATCCACCTCCACCTCCACATCCACCTCCACATCCACATCCACCTCAACATCCTCCAAGTGCATGGCTCCATCGACGGACTGCCAGGCAAGAGGAGCGTCTTCTGATGTAGAGACTTGTAAGTAAACTGACACAAAGTACACCCTAAAGTATGCATTTCATTCATAACTAACATGCCTTTTTTTTTTTTGCAGTAATCCGAGACATACAGTATGGGCAGGGGGAAGAAAAGAGATGCTGTGGGCCAACTATGGCCCATACAAGGTCTACAGTGAAAATATTTTGGTCTTGGCCCCGGGAAAGGAGTTGGAGGGTGAAGTAAGCCTACTTTCTAAGAAAAATATACGTATGCAAACTGATAATTCTCTAGAAAATGGGTTAAAAAGATACTGTTGTATTTATAGATTGTGAATGCCTATCTATCATGGATTGGGGCCAAAGCTGGGGTATTGATTTGTTATTCCTACCTCATGACTTCCCTCTGGCAAGGAACCCACAAAGGAGGTTTAAGAAAGGTGAGTGGAGTAGGACTAGAAATAAGTGTTTATATGAACATATGTACTGATGTATGCACAAATATTTTTCAGTTACATACAAAACCCAATCTATCTGTTTCCTGTGTAGATCGCTGTAAAAATCACTCACCCTAAACGGCAGGATTTGACTTCATGCGGTGTGGCAGCCAGAGCAGTCTGTGACAGGGTACACTGGACACTCAATGTAAGTAATCTAAAAATGTTAATGGCCAAGACATTTATTTTATTTAACACTCAACAATTTGTTTGCACTTCCATAGATCATGTATCTGAAAGAAAACCGGTCCCTGTTCTTTGACCCATTCGGGGCCAATGAAGAGCAGTTAATCAGATGCAAAGATTTAACAAGGTGAATAAAATATAAGCTCTACTGTGTTTACTAGACATATACATGATTTTGGATTATATTAAGAGGGAGCAACACAAAGCCACATAAATCATTTTCCTGATTATTACTGTCTTACTTTAATAACATTAGATTGTCCTGTGTGAGCATTCGGCTCTTCTTGACTTATAAAAGTATCTTACTTGGGCTTATATACAAAACCCAATCTATCTGTTTCCTGTGTAGATCGCTGTAAAAATCACTCGCCCTAAATGGCAGGATTCGACTTCATGCGGTGTGTTTGTTGGCAAGGTAACATTTATTAGTGTGTGTGTGTGTATATATCTCCTCAATGAGGTTAAACATGGCAATGGCTCCTGTGAAAAATTCAGGTATAAAGGACTAGACCAGGGAAACAAGAAATATGATGTCTTATTTGGCATTTCACTACCTTAATGCCTGTATTTCTTATCTTTTTTTTTCTTTCGGTGACCTATCCCAGCTCTGTCAGGCTTGTGGGGAATTGAGCTCAGGTTCTAAGGTTGACCAATGGGTAAGAAGTTGTATTAATGGTGACTAATGTCACAGCAGGATTTGGAAAAACTTGTCCATGCTTTTATCTTCAGTAGACTCGACTACTGCAATGGTGTCTTCACAGGTCTCACTAAAAAATCTATTAGGAAGCTGCAGCTAATTCAGAACGCTGCTGCTCGAGTCCTCACTAACACTAAGAAAGTGGATCACATCACTCCAGTTCTGAAGTCTTTACACTGGCTTCCTGTGTGTCAAAGAATAGATTTCAAAATACTGCTGCTGGTTTATAAAGCACTGAATGGTTTAGGCCCAAAATACATTTCTGACCTCCTGCTAAATTATGAACCATCCAGATCTCTCAGGTCTTCAGGGACTGGTCAGCTTTCTGTCCCCAGAGTCAGAACTAAACATGGTAAAGCAGCGTTCAGTTATTATGCTCCAAATATCTGGAACAAACTCCCAGAAACCTGCAGGTCCGCTACAACTCTGACTACTTTTAAATCCAGGCTGAAGACTTTTCTTTTTGTCGCTGCTTTTAATTGAACTATTCATATCTTAGACTGCACTGTAACTTTTATCCATGTATTTTTTCTTTTAATGTTTATTTTATTAGCTTTTCTTTTTAATGACTGATTTTAAATGCCATTTTCTTAATCTCTTTCATTTTTTGTAAAGCACTTTGAATTGCCTTGTGTTGAAAAGTGCTATATAAATAAACTTGCCTTGCCTTGCCTTAATTTCCAGACCAACATTTGGCGGGAAGACTGGGATACACCCTGGATTGGTTACCTCAACATCACCGGGTGAACACTCACTGTAACAGATATTGAAAATGTTGACTTTAATTCACTAAACTTGCATGTCTTTGCACTATGGGAGGACACTGGAGCAGTTAAAGAAACCTCTGAGCACAGACTCTAAACAGAAAGGATAACAGCTAAGATCCCAACCTATACATTGCTTGTTTAATTAAATGTAAACAATTGATTACTGCTTACTCTGGATGAGGGATGTTAACCTAAAGAAAATGTTTGTCAATATTCTAACACGTGTTTTTTATGTTTATTTTAAGATTGAGTGCACTGGGTGGACTATGCAGTACCACATGAAATGTGTTCGGGAGTCCTCTGTGAATGAGGATTATTTTTGCAAAGCCTGCACATTTTAGACAGTTTTTATTTCTGTTGGGAAAATACTCAATATACTCTTCCAATATGAGAGTACACATGATGACAAAGCTAATCTAACCAAATGCTGGAGCTGGTATTAGGGATGGGAATGATTCATCTAATATTCGAAATTATTCAGATATTCGAATATGAGTTATAAATATTTTTTTTGTTCTTTTTTATTTTATTTTATTAAATTTGATCAAATGGAATAATTCAATGTTTACGACAGTGCCATAGCTAAATGTGTTAGGTCTAAAGATGTGTTTTGCTCCGCTCACCGGTCCCTCACAGCGGGCAGAGCTGCAGGTGCTGATCTCTCTCTCGCGCGCGTTCGTTATACTTCACTCGCGTTTATGTCCAAATCCATCAGATCCAGCTAGTTCTAGCTGATGATATGGCTGCTGCCCCTCCCTACATGCAGATCACGCAGACTCAAACCTCATCTTATGCCCAAATTCCAGCTGAGAGGGTCTTCTCTACAGCTGGCCTGATTGTGAATCGTCTCTGCACCCGCCTCTCCCCTGAGTAGACATGCTCATATTCTTAAACAAGAATGGGTATTGAATAGCTGCATTCTGTGCATAGGCCCTGCTATAGGTTGTTGATCTCTGTTATAATAGGGTTACGTTACCATGACCCGTTATGTTGTTCGTGTTGTATGATCCCTCTTTCATTTAAAAACCAAGTTGTGTTTTAAGCATGAAAGCTGTAGGCCTATAGCTGTCAACTGCTCAATACATTTGACAAATTCGACTTGGTTTCTATATTTATCTGAACATTTATTTATTTTTCAAAATATTTTATTTTATTTGTCAACATTTTTCCCACTTTTTTTTTTTTGTATAGGATATGTACATTTCGGTTAACCGTTTTTTGGGGGGGTCGAATATACATTTGCTTTCAAATTCCCATCCCTAGCTGGTATATATGTATCTTGTGACTGTAACTCCCTCTCTTGTATATCAGCATGTGAAGGACACTGTTCAGGAACAAGTTTTACCAAATGCTCTGTATGTGATGACTACTTCCATTCTTGCAAGGATAATAAATACATGGATCCTGAGCTTGAAGCTCAAGCTGGTGACGACTGATATTTTTCCAACAATTTCCAATAAAGGTTATTCTGAAACATAACTATCACTGTTATCTTTCCTTCTATAAGAGTAATGTAGGCCAAGAAAAACTTTGCATTGCATAATATTGAAACTTACATTTGGGCACTTTAAATGTAGCCAAAAATATGTGAAGCTGCGCTTAGCCCACCAAAACGTGCATAGTTGCAATTTAGGCAGTTAAGCAGGGGTCCTAATGGTGCAAGACGGGGAAGGCAGACCTAATTGCTTAAACATATAGGCTTAAAGGCAGGGCCGTATCCAGGATTTCCTAAATACCGAGGTCCAAATGTGCTTTTTGCTGATTTTTGGGATTTTCATGATCTAGTTAGGTGGTTAAGTCCTGTGGGAGGTCACAAATTGGATGATTGATTTCAAACCATGTCAGTGGGCTGCAGCATCAATTATGTTTGAAAGTGTAACCATAAGGATCAGTTGATTGTTACTATTAATGATCTGGACATGCAGAAGAGGCTAATATTTTTTCTTTTTGCTCCTCACTTGTCGCTCCTGCCAGTGAATTAAAAGAAATTCAGCAATTTAGTTAATTTAGCTTGTTTGCATTATTTTTTTAAAATTTAAATCCGTTTTGTTTGATTCTCAAAAGAGAACAAAGATGTAAGCAAATTGTGTTTTATACAATTGTATGTTATTATGACATAACTACAATAGATGTATTTTTTTTTTTAAATGATACCTATTGTCTATATTGTAAATGAAGACTAAGTTATAGATAGATGGGGTTATTAAGCCTACATTCTTTTGTGTGACTGTACCTGCAGTTCCTCCCTGACTTCCATCACTCTCTCTCGCTCTCTCTCTCTCTCTCTCTCTCTCTATATATATATATGTATATATATATATATATGTATATGTATATATGTATATACATATATATACGTATATATATGTATATATATATATGTATATGTATATATATATATATATATATATATATATATATGTATATATATATATGTATGTATGTATGTATATATATATATAGCCTATAGCTGCAATATAAGTTAGTGTGCATGTTGTCGGACATCCAGTGACTAACGTAGAGCGTTCACACAGGATCTGCTGGTCATATGATGTCCTGATGAACAGGAACACAAGCAGCCCGCTGGACTCAGATCTCTAGATACCTCATCACTCCTCCGCTGATCCGATAAAAGTCCGGGGGCCTTTCTCATTTCTGGGATTTCCCCTCCTCGACTCCTGTCCTCGTGTCTTAGTCCCGCCCACAGGAGATGCGAGCGGAGGAGTCGAGGATGGGAACCGATGAGAGAGGAGGGGAAGCAGAAGGCGTTTCGAGAAATGAGAACGACTCTCCTCTGAGCGGTCCTTTTAAAGAGACGTCCATTAATGATGACAGGAGGCACAGCAGCCCTCTGGAGCCTCATCCCAATACCCCTCCTCGACTCCTCTCTTCCCTTCCTCCGGGACTTGACCCGGAAATCGATCAAGACACGCCATTTTGAAGGACGTCCCAATAGCTGAAATGCACACGGAGGAGTCGAGGAGGGGTGGGGGAGTAGGGGTGCGGGAGGAAACGAAAAGGGAGGATACACGAGAGCAGACGTATAAAAGCCCCGCCCCCACCTTCACAGCTGGTCGATTTCATCAGAGGAAAACCAACAACTGGAAGATGAGTGGAAAAGCGTCACATACATTTATAAGTGCTCACAGCTCCGTGGGAATTATTGCAGTTCATTTCTTAAGGTTATTGTTACGTGCTCCCCTCCTGTTTGTCTCTCTGTCTCCCTGCTGCGCAGACAAACCTGGTCTGCCCCTTGCTCCACCTTCTCTACCAGGTGTTCCTAATCGCTGGCAGGATATAAGGAGAAGCTGGAGGAGTGGGATCGGCCCCCCTTTGCTGATGCCAATGCCAGGAGACGCTCTCCTTCGTGTGGTTGCTTACTGTTATGAAGGGCTAGTCCTTTTGATGTGCCTTTGTGTTTGTGTTTGAGGTGGAGCTTACTTTTTTAATATTTTGTATTGAAATTCAAATAATAATAATAATTATGAATACATCTGCTTATACATTTTTCCATACATTTTTTGATTAAAAAAAATTCTGTAAATAATGAGAAATGAGGAGTGCACTGTGGTACTGTGATATTACAATATAAATGAAATGGCATCGATTACTGTACACTATAATGAAATAAATAAATAATGAAAAATGCTGTCACACTAACCCGAAGTCTAAAGTTACACTTCCACAATGTCCATCCATCCATCTTCTCCCGCTTATCCGTGGTCGGGTCGCGGGGGTAGCAGTTCCAGCAGAGAGCCCCAAACTTTATTTTCCCTGGCGACATCAACCAGCTCTGACTGGGGGATCCCAAGGCGCTCCCAGGCCAGCGAAGAGATATAATCCCTCCACCTGGTCCTAGTTCTACCCCTTGGTCTCTTCCCAGCTGGACGTGCCTGGAACACCTCCCTAGGGAGGCGCCCAGGTGGCATCCTAACTAGGTGCCCGAACCACCTCAACTGGCTCATTTCGACGCGAAGGAGGAGCGGCTCAACTCCGAGTCCCTCCCTGATGACCGAACTTCTCACCTTATCCCTAAGGGAGACACCAGCCACCCTGCGGAGAAAACCCATCTCGGCCGCTTGTATCCGCGATCTCGTTCTTTCGGTCATGACCCATCCTTCATGACCATAGGTGAGGGTAGGAACGAAAATGGCCCGGTAGACAGAGAGCTTTGCCTTCTGGCTCAGCCCTCTTTTCGTCACAACGGTGCGGTAAAGCGACTGCAGTACCGCTCCCGCTGCTCCGATTCTCCGGCCCATCTCACCCTCCATTGTTCCCTTACTCGAGAACAAGACCCCGAGATACTTGAACTCCTTCACTTGTGGTAAGGACTCATTCCCTACTTGAAGTGGACAGTCCATCGGTTTCCTGCTGAGAACCATGGCCTCAGATTTGGAGGTGCTGATCCTCATCCCAGCCGCTTCACACTCGGTTGCGAACCGATCCAGTGAGTGCTGAAGGTCGCAGACCGATGAAGCCATTAGAACCACATCATCTGCAAAAAGCAGTGGTGCAATCCTTAGTCCACCAAACTGCAGACCCCCTCCCCCATGACTACGCCTCGAAATCCGATCCATGTATATTACAAACAGGATTGGTGACAAAGCGCAGCCCTGGCGGAGGCCAACCCTCACCGGAAATGGGTCCGACTTACTGCCGAGGACCCGGACACAGCTCTCGCTTTGGGAGTACAGAGATTGGATGGCCCTGAGTAGAGACCCCCTCACCCCATACTCCCGCAGCACCTCCCACAGTAACTCCCTGGGAACTCGGTCATACGTCTTCTCCAAGTCTACAAAACACATGTAGACCGGATAAGCGTACTCCCAGGCCCCCTCCAGGATCCTTGCGAGAGTAAAAAGCTGATCCGTCGTTCCACGACCAGGACGGAATCCGCATTGTTCCTCCTCAATCTGAGGTTCGACAATTGGCCTGACCCTCCTTTCGAGTAGAGGATGGCCTGCAGTCCTGACCTCAACCCCAATGAACACTTGCGGGATCAACTTGGCCCTGCTGTAGGAGAGGCTGTTGTGGCTGTGTTTGGTTCTTCCACACGCTACTGAGGCTGCTTGTTAAATTAATTAATTGTTCACAAATCAATTGTTGCCAATATGTCTGTATTTGTCAGATTTCAATCATCCAATCCACCAAACAACACCAAACTAGAGTCAGCAGCAAAAAAAGCTATTTGGCATTGGCATAGGAGATTTGTCACATTTTTTCAGGGGCGCACCCCAATTACTCAGCTCTGCTGCTCATCCCACAAATGCTTGTTCCTCACAAATGTAGTACCATTGGAAATATCAGAAAACAGGCTTTCCAATGGTATTCCAAGATGTATTGCCAAAAAGCATTGTTCCCTTACTTGTTGTGTTAAGTTTAGTAAACAAGTCTCTTCACTCAGGTGTTTTTCCACAGGCCCTGAAAACTGCAGTCATTAAAGCCCTCTTAAAAAAGAACAATCTAGACGCTTCAGTAATGAACAACTACAGACCCATATCAAACCTCCCATAGGTAAAATCATTGAAAAAGTTGTTTTTCAACAGCTGAGTTTTTTGCATTTAAATAACTGTTTCGATGTGTTTAAGTCAGGATTTGAACACAGACAAAGTATAATCTTTTCATCTATTTGTTTGTGAAAGAGATATTTCAATTGTTCTCTGTTTGGAAAAACTACTACTAATTATGATCTGTAACAATGGAGTCCTTATAGAAAAGGGGTTTTATCGTGGGTAGCTCACCCCCACTGCAACACTTGATATACAAAAGTAAATAAATAACCTGTTAAGATTCTTAAACTGAGTGATGCTTAAGAAGTGTTTAGTTTAAAGTACATGTTTGTTTGTCTAACAGTTAAATGTGTATTGTATAACCATAGGTAATATCAGTCCAGAGCAGAGGTTTAATAAATGAAGCAGGAGCTGAATCACCAGAAGAAAAGACTAAATGTAGCTAATACAGTATAACAGTATAGACGTAAAGTAAAAGGCAAATCTGCCAGTATCTGATTGGTCAAATGTTGTTTAAGTACAATTCTAATTGTAGTATGTGCTACAAATAGTAAGAAATTGCAAGAGAAATACACATAAAATGTTCTGTAAAGAGATTTTTAAATACTTCACTTTACTAAAGTATACATCAGTAATTATGTTTAACTTCTTACTTCATAACATGCATCTGACAACTTTAGTTAGTAGCTACTTCTGTTAGGCTCCAAGCCTGTTTTTCAGGTCTCAGGCTTGAAAAGGACATTTCCACAACAAATGACAATAACTTCCCTTCTAAAAGGGGTAAATTAATCATCTTTTTTCTCAACGTAATGATAAACCTGTGAGTTGGATGTAGAAAAGTTAGAATCAATATAGATGTTTTTTATTTTAAAGAAAATTCAGATTGAACATAGTAAATTATAGTGTCCGTCCAAAAAACATTTTGTATTTATAGTGAAAACTAACCTTGGATGAAGGGTTAGTAGACAAAAAGCTTTAGGAATCCAAAGTACAACATATAATAAGTACCCTGTATCAAGATTGATGCAAAACAAGAGACATTTGACCTTTTTAGAGAGATTTAGCAAAAGAAAAACGCTCTGAAATCTGAAAATGTAAAACTAGGGTTATTGCAGATGGATTATCAGAAATCATTTCAAAGTGACACAGACACATTGGATTAACCTATGGATTAACGTTCAGCAGCGTTTTTATCGTTTTAATGCCATTGAAGACCACTTTTGATCAGAATAACAGCTAAGGTAAGAAATGTGCCTTGTTTGCTACCTAATGCCACGTGTTGTGTGTGTTTTTGTTTCTCATGTCGCGATCATTGATCGTTTTGGTCATGGAGTGATGATACCGATACCTATCGAATCTGTGTAATCTCACGATGCTAATCGGTGGGTTGGATGTGCATTTACGATAAGTAATAAGGGTTTAATACCGTGAGTTGACCTGCATCATGAAAATATTGAATCTGTGTGGGTTGAAATTCTTTTTGACAATGCTAAATCTGTAATAGTCGGGACAATCTATAGACCACCGGAACAGAGTGACTTTTATGATACATTAGATGGGTGTTTGGCTGATGTGGGGGATGTAGAGACAATTATTATTGGAGACTGGAACACGGATATGCAACGTAAAGACACGTCCGTCTTCAAGTCCTTCAGTAGGATTTGTGATCTGCACGGCTTCAGCCAGCTAATCACCCAACCCACCCGGGTATGTGAAACAACACAAACTACCATTGATCTCATTCTGACCTCTGACAAGTCCAGGATCTCCAGTAAAGGGGTTATAGCATGCGGGTTAAGTGATCATTATATGATATTCTGTACCCGCAAAAAGCTAAAACAAAGGGCCGGCTGTCACAAAACAGTCATATCTAGAGACCTCAAAAACTACTCTAGCGAGGCCTTTAACCTAGAACTGGAGAGCCTGGACTGGTCAGATGAGCTCAGTGGTACACAAGTTGAAGAAACATGGCTTGGTTTCAAAAACAAATTCTCTGCAATACTCAATGATTTGGCCCCCCTAAGAACAACCAGGGTAAAAAATCGCGCTGAGCCGTGGATGCACTCCGGCATACTGACCGCCATGAAAACCAGAGACAAAAAATGCTCTGAGTTTCATAAAAGTCAGTCAATGCTTTCCAAAAGCACGAGCAGTGAACTCCAAGCCCACGTGACTGAACTCAAAATTGAAAGAAACAGACTAAGAAATGACGTAAGCTCCATGATCAAAACTGCCAAAAAGAATTTCATCAATGTCAAAACTGAGGAAAACAAAAATAAACCCCGTGAACTTTGGAAATTACTCAATAACCAGCTTGGCTGCAGTAAAAAACTCAAAACGAGATGTTCTAACTTAAACATAAAGACAGATAACAGGCTCATCACAGACAAACTGGATGTGGCCAAGTACTTGAACATTTTTTTCACAAACATAGCCACAACTCTTGTAAATAAATTACCCTCCCACTTAGGGCTTTTTGGAGTAGATCACATCATGACCTACTACAAAAACCTAGGGGTACGCAAAGATGATTTCAGTCTAGCAAGTGTAACAACAGCAGAGGTACTCATTAAACTGAGCGCCCTCCAACCTAACAAGGCCACTGGCCACGACAATATCCCCTCCAAATTCCTCAGAGACACAGCAACCGCCATCTCACCAGTCATAGCTCACATAATTAACCTCTCCATAAAACAGGGAAAAGTACCCAAAGACTTCAAAATTGCAAGAGTAACCCCCCTGCACAAAAAGGGCAGCAAATTGGACCCAGGCAACTACCGCCCTGTTTCTATACTTACCTCCATCTCGAAAGTCATGGAAAAAATTGTATATGAACAGGTCGAAAAGTACCTCGCGGAAAATAAACTAATCTATGAATTTCAATCTGGCTTTAGAACATCCCACTCCACTGACACATGCCTTCTTTATTTGAGCGACCACATCAAACAAGAGGTGGACGAGGGCAAGTACTGCGGCATGGTGATGCTGGACCTACAAAAGGCTTTCGACACTGTCAATCACCCCATTCTGATTGACAAGCTAAAAGCAATTGGTTTTGATAAACTATCGGTGAGCTGGATGCAATCCTACCTGGAGGGGAGAGAACAGATGGTGGAGGTAAACGGTACTCTGTCCCCCCCCCCTCCCAGTGAGCTGTGGTGTTCCACAAGGAAGCATATTAGGTCCGTTACTGTTCCTAATTTATGTAAATGACATGTCATCAGCATGTGACTGCAACTTGTTCCTGTTCGCGGACGACTCAGCCCTGCTGGTCTCTGACAGGAACAGGTTGCAGGTTGAAAAAACCCTCAGCTCCGAGCTCGGCAGAATCTGCACCTGGCTCGCCGATAATAAATTATCATTACACCTGGGTAAAACAGAGTCCATTCTCTTCGGTTCGAAACATAATCTCAGCAAATCCGACGACTTCTCAGTTGCAGTGGGCGACATTATTGTCACAAGTAAGAAGGAAATTACATACCTAGGATCTATTCTTGAGGCAAACCTCTCCTGTGACAAAATGGCATCCAATGTAATAAAAAAAGTCAATCAAAGAACTAGATTCCTATACCGGATCTCCTCTCTGGTAAACAAAAACCCCCTGAAAACTCTGGCAGGAGCACTCATTCAAGGGTACTATGACTATGCTTGCACGTCATGGTACCATAGCACCTCCAAGGCGCTAAAAATAAAACTTCAAACATCGCAAAATAAACTGGTCAGACTACTGCTTGACCTTTCATCTAGAACCCACCTCACCTCTGCCCACTTTGACAACCTAGGATGGCTTAGAGTAGACGACAGAGTACAGCTACTTGCAATGGGCCTGGTCTACAAGATCCACTACACCTCTATGGTACCCATGTACATGTCAAAATTCTTCCCAAAGGTCAAGGAATACCATGATCATAACACCAGAGGGAGCTCCACAAATCATGTGAAACCCAGATTTGGCACAAAAAAGGGGGAATACACGTTTCGCAATTATGCCACATCAAGGTGGAACGCTCTTCCCACAACTGTAAAGGAAAGTAAAACTATACTTACCTTCAAAACCTCTCTTAAAGAGCACCTTCGGGGGAGAGCATTGCAAAACTGGCCCCGGTAATGGTACAAATCTCAACCTGTCGTTCAATGGACAGCTTCCCCCCCCCCCCCCCCCCCCCCCCCATCTATGTATATACTCGCATTTTAGACTCTGTTACTAACTGTATATCTGTAGACTTGGTATGTCTTAAATGTCCGGTTAGGATGTATTAGAACGAAATCTAAAATGAAAATTGTAAACAAGCAATCTGTATGTAAAAAAACCACCTGTATGTAAATTGTAAATAAGCCATCTGTATGTCAAATATGTCTTATATGTCTTAAATGACATGATGAATTGGAAATGGGGGACCCTGATGTAAACAAGACGAAAGTCTTTCTCTGGTCTGCATCCCCTTAACAATTGTATGTTTTGAGCTGTACTGTACTGTACCCAATATACAAGCTGTTAATAAACTTTTCAATCAATCAATCAATCAGTTCTGTGCTAACGGCGTTAGCATTTTTTCGCTCAGGGCTAATTCAGAGGCTCAGCATTAGTCTTGTGTTTTTCTTTGATAAAAATGGTTCATATCATCAGTTAGTTGAGTTTCTTCCCGTTACATGGATATGACACATTCATAGTTTATTAAATCTTAAGAAGCCCTCAGACACTGTTGTTTGCAGATGTTGTGGTTTCGGCCCCTTCGGCAGGTCCGTGGGGCTTAAGAAATACACATTTTTTAATAAAAAAATGAAGAGATTATGAAGTATGATGTTTGGTTAAAAGTTAAACACAGCAGTTTATATAAGTACTGCTTAAACAAGATGTTGATTGACAGAAGGTAAACTAATACGTTCTAAAGTAATAATACCATTCAAAAAATATACTATCACCAGTAAAAGCCCTGCAATATTATTAATAAGTAAAAGCACTCAAAGCTGCGATCGTTATAATATACTACCTCGTATCTGATCAGATTGTTGTGCCTAATGCATACATTTTATTGTACTGTTGGAGTTGTTGGAGTTGGATCTCATTATTAAATGTTTTGTATTGAAATGCAATGAATATAATCATTATAGATGAATCTGCTTAAATAAGTTCTCCATAATTTGAATGATTGCTTGATTTGTAAAAATTGTGATAATATGGAGAAATGCTGTCACAATTACTCCGAGCCCAAAGTGACTTTCACTTATTTTGTGCAAATTCAGTGCCTTTATAGTTTAAAGTTAAATTGAACTTCTGTTACATGTGATCCCTTTCTTAATCATTCAACACATTCAAGAAACTGCATTTGAATGTTTGCACGGCTGTATATATTATTTTTATTTAAATAAGAGCTTTATTAAAAACCACCCTGCTCCACGTTCTGCATCCTGTACTGAGATAGATAAACAGGCTGAGACTTAAGCTGAACTGCTTTCAGATTCACAGTGAGATTCACACTGGTTTCTCACAGATACTTCTGTAAGGGTCTTCACAGGATTGATCAATCCAACACTTCAGGTCTGTCGCTCCACCTCTCTTCCCCATCTTCACACAATCCTCTCCATCAGGATTTCTCCCTTTAGCGTTGTTTGGCTCTCCTTTAGACCAAAAAGGAAAGCTGAGATTTGAAGAAGAGAAAGATGTGTTTTAATAAAACTGTTGACTTTGATATTGGAGATTGACAAAAACATTTGTTTACAACAATCAAACCTGCTGTTCAGTGCTGATCCGTCTGTCCACAGCCATGTGTCCTCTGTCTCTGAGTCCGTCAGTCCGATCCAGAACTTGTCTGGAGTCATCTTAACTCTCACTTTCTGCTCCAGGAATTCCTGGACAGCAAAAACAAATATGTTGAATAACTTTTCTGTGCTAACTACTGCAGAAACAAAGTGGTGAATCGTGACCCTGCAGCAGTGTGTCATACCTGCTCCTCTCTGCTCTCTATCTTAACCAAATCTCCTCCTTGGCATCTGCATTCATCTCTGCTCCTTGTCCATGTTGCTTTATTGGTGGAGAAATAATAGCATTTCCCTCCATAACGCTCCCAGCCGACTGGACATGTTGTACATGAGTACCCTTTAAAAAGATCAGAGCAAAGTCTTTATTCAGGTGATACACATCTGTTTTATGTGTGTGACAATCTGACACTTCATCATCAGAAGATGCAAACATGTGAGAAAGTAAATCCATCACTGACGGTTTACTTCAGGGCACTTTGGTGACTCCGGTTTAAATGGTTTTAGTCTCTCTGTTAGGAAAAAAGATAAAAAAGATTTCACCTCATCAGAGGTGTCTCTTGAGAACCGGAACAGAGATCAAAACTCTTGGTTCACTCAGTCGAGAAGAGACACAAAGATGAATATTCAACAGAACAATATGAGTGTTAAAAACTTGAAAGAGATCTGGATGTGGACAAAGTTTACCTGTGAGGTTTCTTATCTCAGCGTCATGCTCATCTATCATCTTTTGGAGAATCGTATAGATGGTGGAGTACATTATCCATCAGAGGCAAAACATTCCAAGGTCAATTTAGGGTGAAGGTTATTATTTTAGAGATATAGGTAATGATAATATATGAGTGTTATTACAAAATGAGTTAAAACAACCTTTGAGATTCTTTTCCACAGCCCGACTTTCTTCGGTTTGGTTGTTTTTATACACTGATTGTTAAAAAAGAGAAAGTAAGTATGGTTTGTAGAATAGTAGTAATCATTCCAATTTAGAGTGAGGATTATCATAAGGACAGATCTAGGTAATAATTTAAATGCAGAGAAGAAGAGAGAAACTCACAGGTCAGTGCGAGAGCGATGAGAGAAGCTGCCAGGAGAACACTGAGAACAAACACAGCCGCTCTCTCTGAGGTGACTCTACATCGTGGACCTGACTCAGATTGCTGTTGGGTATCTGTTGAGGAGAACAAGAGAGGGTCATGTCTTTACATTAGGTTAAATATTCTTTGTTACTATTCCCATTTCCAGTTTTTCACCCCCTATGTCTGTGTTTACTCCCTGTCTTTGTGTTTTCCCTCCTGTGTGATGGTGAGATTATTTACACCTGATGCCCTTCTGTCTTAGCATGCCCTCCCCAACTTTCGGAAAGTGTGATATTTATGAACATTTCCCCTAGATTTGTACTCTTATTTAAAGCCTCACAAATATGTATCTGTTATGACATCTGTTACAAATAATAGTATGATAATAAATCATAGTAATTTTCTTGACCTTATTTTCTCTCTCTTTCTTATTTGAAGACTTTTATTTTTCTAAATATTGTTGTTCTTTGTCTTTTATTTTGTATGCCCTGTAACCATATTATCTTTTAAAATGCAAAGAAAAACAGTTTTGCTCCTTGTGTGTTTGTTTTTAGGAACTTTTAAGACGCTATATCAGTAAAACCTTAATTCACATGTTCACACCCTACTGCCTGGTTCAAAAACCAGTTTCCTTTTTAGGACATTTTATCACTCCAAAAATCTGAAAAATACTGTCAACAGTCACAAAACAAATCTAAAATGCTCTATAAATCACGCAATAAAAACCTTAAGAATATAGATATACAACTGGAAGATTTGATGTGAGTACTGCCGACGTGGACATTTCTGGTTAGAAAGTATATGAATAAAATAAGTAGGGCCGGGACTCGATTAAAAAAATTAATCTAATTAATTAGAGGCTTTGTAATTAATTAATCGAAATTAATCGCATTTTTAATCGCATATACATATTTGACCTAAGAACAGTGAGAAGCAATTTTTTTTCACATGGATTTTAGTATACCATTAGGCGCATTCACACCGCAGTACTTTTCCCACAAAGGTTCATGAGAACTTAGTTCATGAGAACTCTTTGAACCTGGGGGAGGATTAGGCAAATGAAGCCGCTGACGTCACTTCTTCTTCTTCTGCTTTGGGTTTACTGGCAGGCCGCAAACCACTTCACGGCGTATACTGCCGCCCAAAGTCCCCGGCCGGAAGTCCCCGGAGTTGGGGACTGGCTTCAGTAGAAGCTGCTGGGAGTCCCAGCAGCCTTCCGAGTAAATCGCCAGAACGCCGACACCTCCTCATCTCCACCGCTCCCATGTTTTATTTTGTGTTGCCATAAGTTAGTCTCTCTGCGTTTCTGCGCTGGGCTAATGCTAATAATGCTAATGCGAGGATAATAAAATGGCGACTTCACAAAACTTTTTGGGAGTTTTACGGGGCGTGGTTTGCAATCCGCCCAGCCAATCAGAAATATAGCTCTTTTCTCACAAGAGAGCCGTACGAAAGTCCCTGCTTTCGTGGGGGTAAAAAGGTTCTCATGAACTAATTTTAGTACCGGCTCTTTTTGGTGTGAACGCGATAAAAGAGGCTAACGTCCACGCTAGCTTCCACGCTAGCTGCTATATGTTTTTGCATTGAGGTGATACTTGAGGCTTGATGTGCTGCGGTGATATGCGAATTCCTTTTTGCATAATTTGCACACAACCGTGCTCTTATCGACGCTTCCATCCGTCCGTTTTTTAAAACAACATTTCCCACTGTTGTTCACTGTGGTTTGTTGTTGTCTGAAGTCATGAACGTTAGTTGGTGCTCCAGTATAATCGGTACGCCTGAAACTCATCCAGTGGGAAACGTTCCGCGGTGCAAAAATAAGTGCGATTAAAATGCGTTAATTTTTTTAACGCGTTAATTTTTGTGTAATTAATTAATCTTAATTAACGCGTTAAAGTCCCGGCCCTAAAAATCAGATATTGCATTTCTAGCTAGTAATTTGAAAACATATAATTGGCAAATATCAATGACAATTTATTTGTGTGTCTTAGTGGGGAAGGCTCTCCCCGCCTGCTTCCAGCCCTGTATGGGGCTTACTGCGCACCACGTTTCCCAGGTCCCTAAGGAGCATGAAAATAGTCGTAAGTGCATTATGTCCAAGGGGGTCAGATACAGCTTACTGACCCACAGCCCCCCTCCTTTCACCAGTCCTGTGTTGCCCCAGCAAGCGCAGACGATGAAAATGAGCCCGACATGTCCAAAAGATAAAACCTTATTAACGGGCCTGACGTAGACCAAGACGCCGCCGTGTATATGTCCTCCACACTTACGCCGTTGAACAAGGCTGTCGACACAGCCATACCACGTGTAGAGTATGCACGGACCCCAGTGGGAAAGGCTCTCCCTGCCGGCATGTGAAATGCACTCGCAGAGCCATCCTGTCAGGCGTTTCTTGGACAGAGCTTTACCGGCCACACCATCCCCAAAGCACACAAACAGCAGTTCAGTGCGTCCAATAGAAGCCTTGCGCCCTACATAACATGCCAGCGCACGCACCGGGCAGAGGAGATGCAATGTTGCCTTCCTGTCCCCAGTATGGGGTGGAAGACTAAAGCCGTCTAACTGTATAGCCCTCGACCTGAACAAACTCCTTAGGTTCTTGGGAACAAAGGAGGGGTTCGGTCTGAGTGTCGCCCCGCTACGGTCACCACGAATGAAAAGGCAACTCAGGTGCACCGACAGAGCGGTCAGCTCGCATACTCTCTTGGCCAAAGTGAAAGCAAGCAGCAAAGCTGTTTTCAATGATAGCGCCTTCAGGGAGGAGAGCTCCAGTGGCTCAAACGGTTCTGTAACCAAAGCCTTGAGAACCAATGGCAGATCCCATTGCGGGGTGGAGACATGCACCACTGGGTGCTGTCTCCTGACCCCCTGCAAAAAACGCGTCATAAGCGGTTGACTAAAGGCTGACCTGCCGCCAAATCCCTCATGGCAGGACGAGATGGCTGCTGCATACACCTTAACTGTGGAATGAGCAAGCCCCTTGTCCACCAGTATCTGTAAATAGGACAGAATAGAGCCCAATGTACAGGACAGAGGCTCTGGACTCCTTTCCTCACACCACCGCTGGAATCACAACCACTTCGTCCTGTAACAGGCTGTGGTGGATCCTGCTCTTCCTGCCTGGATAGTCTGTATAACATTGTCAGACAGTCTACCCCGTCTCAGCCTGTCCCTCTCAGGAGCCAAGCCTGGAGAGGTTGGCCCAGAGTGGGTGTGGAGGCTCAATTTCCAGTTCAGTTTGAGTCGCCGAGAGGCTAAGCTTGGCTATAAACTGTGACGCGTTTTCGAAGAGAAAGCCCATACTGAAGCAAGATAGTTATAGGATATTTAATAAACAAAATCAAAACACAGTAACTATGGACAAAACGGTCAACAGAAAAAATGACAGCACAAGCTCACCCTCTGTCATCCGCACTCGACATGAAACAGGTGACTTATATAGACAAACCACACCCATGTGACAATTACCGGAAGTGCTCAACAAACAAATAAAAGTGACGTAAACAAATAATAATAATAATACAAATAATGAACTTGGGCTAAGTAGCATTAAGGCACCTACAGTGGGTAACGCCCCTATTGCACCTGCTTCCTGAGACAGCGCCCCCCTGAACTGAGGAACTGTCCAGGGCTGGCCCACCATCATTTGTGTCACTTCTGCGCACCACGGCGCCGAGCGGCGACCTGGCGCTAACAGAATGACTGACAACTGTTCCCGTCTCACCCTCTCCAGGAGGGGGAGAATGAGACACAGCGGTGGAAAAGCGTAGAGCAGCTTTCTTGGCCATGGCTCGTGCGCAAACGCGTCCACCCCCACGGGTGGATTGTCCTGCCGAGCCAGGGAAAACCATATGATACAGTGGTTGTTGCGCCGGTTGGCGAACAGGTCCGCCTCCGCTTTCCCAAACTGGGCCCAGATCTGCTTCACCACCTCCGGGTGGCAGGGGCCAGACGAATGGACCTCTTGACATGAGGTCGGCCCTCCTGTTCTGATGTGGTGGGCCTTCAGAGATAACACATTCTCTGAGGCCCACAACCACAGGTTCTCCGCTGTGCTCAACAAGGTGGCAGAGCGGACTCCGCCCTGCCTGTTGATGTAAGCCACTGTGGTGCGGTTGTCGCTTCTCACCAACACATGTTTGCCCTGTAGTAAGGGTTTGAAGTGCTGTAGGACCAGTACTACTGCCCGTAGCTCTAGAACAGGGATGGGCAACTTGGATGGTGGTGGGGGCCACATAATTTATGTACTGGCCATCAGGGGGCCGCAGATTCACTTGGAACACACACACACACAAATTCCATGTATTGTATGTAATTATTAACAAAGATACTAAGTCTGACATCTTCATTGACATTTTTCAATCTTTCAAGGAACATCCTCTAATAAGCTCACTAAACAAATATCAGTTCACAGACATTTTATTAAATTGTTACAAGTGGCATGTTTGCATTGAACAGGTTATTTAACAGTGGAATACAACTATTTTAAACTATTGGAAAGCACGGAAAATGTGTGTGCATTGAGATTAACCATTAAGATGACATAAACATCAAGTCATGAACACTAACCCAGTTGTTGTCTAACTTGAACCTAAGACACTTGTAGCCTGTCTCTGCTGACGCACAATAAGGGGAATGTCAACACAGGCACCTGTCAACCCGCACTCTGCTGTTCCTCAGCGCCGCTCCCCCTCCCTCCCGCTGAAATTATGAATGAAAAGCGTATAGTAATCATAGATAACATGGCAGGGTCCGTGACAGTTTGTTTTCATTTGATTTCAAATAAACAAAGTCTTGGTTTAAGTCCCCGCCATTTGCCCATCCCTGCTCTAGAAGGTTGATGTGCCGAGTTTCTGTCAGAGGCCAGCCTCTAGGCAGGTCCCCCCCCCATCCTGTCACGGACGCATCTGTGAACACCGTGACGTAGGAGGTCACCTGCCCCAGTGGAGTTCCCCTCGGCAGATGCTTTGGGCGGTGGGCTCAAGCACCCAGGAAGTGCGCTGGAGTCTGATGAGAATATTCGTGCTGGCCAAACGGCGGTACTACACTTCCTTTAGGTTGCTGGGCCCGCTTTTTCCCATTGACTTACATTGGGAAAGAGTGGTCTGTAACTCGTTGGATAATTTTTTTTTAACTAAATAAACACCCCAGTATGAACACTTGTATAGCCCTTATTAAAAACATTCGTTCCTCAAGTTGTAAAAATGTGCTAATAACGTTATTCTGAGAGTTATTTCCCTCTGCATTATGAACGCGCATCTAACCCACGGGACCGCGCCGCCCGTCACGTTCATGTTACGTGTTCAGCACTACATGCGTTTATCTTTACCCATGGATGCACAATAAGAACGGACCCATATCGCCTTACTGCCAGCCCACGGAGCTGTAATAATGGATATATTGCACATGTTTGCTATAATTCATAATTTGTAAAATATTATACTACATGGGCTGTATGATTAAATCTTGTACCATAAATGTTATAAAGTTAATATTACCGACGTTAGATTAACGTCCCTGTAGCTTATTATATAAAGAATGCATCTAACGTTCCGCTGTTCATTATAATAAAAAAACAGAGCATTAAACAAACCATCATGCTCTTACTTTGAAATCATGCGGAAATATCGTCATCAGCAGGCCATCACATGGTTTCCGAAAATAACCGAGTGACACGAGTAGATTTTAGCGGAGACCGGCGGAAAATATGTCTCAAAATTCCGTGTGTGACGATCCACAAGCAGAAATGTGAGATCCGCAAGCAGAGATTTGAGATCCGCAAGCGCATTTTTGGTCGACAAATACAAAATGGATTCACAAATGCCTGATCGAAAGTTGTCAATGTTAAAGAGATATTCACAGATCTTTTTTTTATTTGTGAAAATATTTAGCGTATTTGCAGATCCGTTTTACACTTGCACATTTATTTGTGAGTTTGCAAATCTTTTAAACACATTTGTGGATGGTGTTTTACATTTACAAATCACATATTTACACACAAATTATTTTTATGTTCACCCAAATAATTACGAGACATATTTATGCCCATAAACGCAACTCACATTGGTTTCTCAAACGAGATGGGTCTGGATCATAGACTGTATAGGGTCTGGATGCAGGGGCGGATCTAGACAAATATTCATGGGGTGGCAAGAGGGTGGCAGGAGATTTTGAGGGGTGGCATCCCCTGACAGAATTATATGCTGATTGAAATCGCAATCATATCAATCAATTAGGGATGTAACGGTACACGTACTGAAATTATTCGGTACGGGCCCTTCGGTTCGGTACATGTGTGTACCGAACGAATATAGAGTTAAACGTAAAAAATTGAGAAGAACTTTCTGGAAGTAATCTCAGGTATATATCATAGAGCGACCAAGTCATTTCATTGGACGAGAGGCATACTATGAGAGCTGGTCACAGGGATGCGTTCAAATGTAGTCAGTAATTTGAGGAACTGTCGAAATGGCGAACGCAGATAAAGTTGAGCTGAAAATCCTCCAGCATCATTGAAGTCTCCGGTTTGGGAACATTTTGGTTTCACAGTTACGTACAAGGATGACGGACAAAGACAGGTGGACCGAACCAAAGCTGTTTGTCGACATTGTTCAACTAACATTGGTTACGCGGCTGGCAATACATCACACTCATTTGAGGCATCACCGAACATGAATATCACCGGTACCAAAAGAAAAAAGACTGAAGTGCAAACCCAACTCCCACTAGCATGTAAGCCTCCACCACTCGCAGAAAGTTCAGACCGAGCCAAAGCTATTACAAACGCCAAGTATCCTTATATTGCCATGTTAGCAAAGCGCTACCTGGCTGTGTCTGCTACCTCTGTCCCTAGAGAGGGTGTTCTCCACAGCAGGAGACATTGTTAGTGCCAGCAGATCTACCATTTCAGCAAGCAATGTGGACAAGTTCATCTTTCTTTAAACAACATGAAAATACAATGAAAAGCAAGTCCTAATGTCAAGCCGGCTGCTTAGGTACAGTACAGTTCAAATACAGATTATTTCAGTTCATCGAAATGCTGCACCTTAATGTTTATTTTACTATATTTTGTATTTATTTGAATACATTAGTCAGTTTAATAATAATTTTTAAAAAATATTTAATGTTTTGTGATAATTTTTTCTGCTGTACCGAAAACGTACCGAACCGAACCGTGACCTAAAACGAAGTACGTACCGAACCGAAATGTTTGTGAACCGTTACACCCCTACAATCAATGTTAACTTGGAAAGCCACAATATTAATATTTTAACTCAATCACATAGGTGATATTATTGTGGCACATCAGTAAAGCCTTACATATAAGGTGGCAGACGTAATTTAATGAATTTTAACTGAACAATAACTGAATGAGTTTGTCTCACTCTTAGACCAGCAGGGGTACCAAATATATACAGACTGCTGCAATAAGTACATTAATTAACTGTCTCATCGATGTTTGTCTGAATGAATATGATACTATTAACAATCATATTATTCCTATCAGCTGTCAATCACTGTTAATAAATAATAATAATAGATTTAATTTGTTAGCGTTTTTACAGGTGCTCAAAGAGGCTTTACAGATATAGTGAAGAACTGTTATGATTCACATATTCATTTATTATTGAATAAAATATATTTTGAATGATGAATGTTCATCAAGATGCTTGCTCACCCTCCTTCAATTTTGAAAAACAAGTAATTATATCATTATTGATATACAGTTACAACCTTGACTTTACATCAGAAAGAACAAACATTAAAGAAGTGACTAACTGCATCAGTTAGGGTTAAAAAACGTGTATTCAGCTAAAACATCACTGCAGTTATTATCCAGTGGAAGGTCCTTACCTACTGGCCTAGTTAAATCAAAGTGGTTACTTTCTGTTGGCTGGGCAGTGTAGTTGTACACACCGTCTTATTTTACTTTCTCAGGACTTAAAACTGTTTTTTGGGGGCAGACCCCCTCAAAGAAAAAAATATATACACGCATACAAGGTCATCATCTTAACAGTTTGTTATTCTCATCGAGTCATCCGTGAGCAGAGCATCAAGTTGGCATGTATATTACAGCTGAATGCGGCGATTACTATTTTGTTCAGCAAAACGCCTCACAAATTTATTAAGATCAACAGCTGTAGTGCGTTTTGATTCAATGCTGAGTACAGCCAAACTTGACATTCTCTTCTCTGTCATTGTAGACCGCAACTACCTCATTCCTTCAGTGCTTGGGTCCGAAACGCTTCTCGTTTTGCGCCGTCCCCCGTTCAAGTGAATTCGCCACCAATCATATTTCCACTCTTGCGCCAGGACCGGGGGAGGGGTTACATGACGTGCATCTTGTGCTGCATTCACTTGCACTCGGACATTAGAGACTTTTTCTCATAAATGTCCGAAGAGCCACAACGTTTCTTTCAAAACAAAGATGCCAACTGGGGTGGCAGCTGGGGTGGCAAGGCTATTGTTTAGGGTGGCAGTTGCCACCCCATGCCACCCCGGTAGATCCGCCCCTGTCTGGATGCAGACCGCAGCAAGGAGGCGGATCCTATAGGGGGCGTTTCCTAACTTTTTTTATCCAATAGAATAATGACATTCAGCAGAAATACATACTGTAGGTGGCAGTAATGCAATTTAAGGGATTCCAGCTGCTTTTATAAATCCTCGCAGAAGAAGTCATTCGTTCTTTCAAGATGGCCGAACAACAAGTTGAAACAGCGGTAATAGTATTTTCCAGAGATGCATGTTTATATTTATTGTAATGTCATTTTTCTTAACACACAATTGTCTCGTTATCAAAGTACAACATCGACTGTCCAACCTCGTTAAGCGTTAATAAAGTTATTAATAGTTGTATGTGGTAAACATGTTTGTGGTATTAAATGCTAATTTAGCAAGATGCTATAAACACGTTGGCCTATAGTCCCGTGTGCAACCAGGCCTACTCTACTGTTGTAATAACGTTTAGCTTAGATAGGTCAATAGATTATCAGGCTCGGTAACAATACTGATTTGTGTTACCAAAGCTGATCATCTAATTGACCTAAGGTTAGCATATGCTGTGATGCTAACCAGCACTTAGCATGATGCTAGTGTACTGTTGTATTATCTTGGAAATATAAGTAGGCCTGCCCTACATACTGTAACTTAATCAAATAATATGGTATGGATTCGGATAGACAACATGGCTAGCTTGGTTTGTTGAATTGAGTAATACGATGTGCGGTACTGATTAAGGTTGTAACTGTAACAGTTTGTAACTACTAGTTGTAATGAACCAGACGAGAGACGGACGCATCCTTTCCGTAAATGTCGGCTGCTGTATATAGTTACGCTTTCATTTAGACTCCCACATTTTTATGTGCACAGCATCTCTATGCTACAGGTAAAGTCACTCACTTATAGAACCACAATAAGCTATAGGTGCAGTCAACTTGGACATGACTGCTTGTCTGGCTTGAAGAAAGGCCAGCGCAAAGGTTTTTTTTGGGTGGCAGCTGTAGGCTTCTGGCTTAAATAAAAAATAACCTGAACCTACGTTTTAGACAATTGAGTCCTTCTTTTCTTTTCTCATCAGGTGTGGTGACCTGGAAGGAGTACTCTGTGGAGTACACCAAGACCTACAGGATCTCCAGCTGCATACAGTGCCGCAACCTGTACAAGGACTCGGAAGGCTACAGGGGACAACTCTTGGGGATGTACTCAGAAGATGAGCTGGCAGGATTCTGCAGCATTGACTGTTTTTATGATGCTGGAGGCACCTTCCATGAAAATGGCTGATGGGGTTAATAATAATTAGAACAGCCAATAAAATGTTTGTTTAATAAAGACTTTACTCTTTGTATGTACTGTATATATTTTTTAATTAATCTTACCACAACATGAACACATGAATGATACACATCAGGACAGTAACTTCAACTTCAGTATTTTAGGTGTACAGAAACCTCTACTCATGTTGTTAAATGATATACAGCAATATCTTCCATAAAACGTAGTTGATTGATTTGAATAATAATTACTACCACTGCACAGTGAAAAATGATATGCCTACAATTTATGAATTTGTCTTCTCTGTGGGTTGTATACTCTTCATTCTTTATGCAAATTAATTATAATTATTATTTTTCAAAGCTCGTTTGATTCATTCAAAACAGAGAGCGTCATATACCTTTAAGAAATACGTGGGGGGCGGGGTTCATAACCCTTTAGGAAACGCCCCTATAGGATCCGCCTCCTTGCTACGGTCTGCATCCAGACTCTCTTGTCTCAAACAGCATCTCTGTAAACTACGTGTATTCACTGAATTTCACTCTCTGCCTTTAACGGCTCGTTGTAGCTCCAATAGCTCCAGCCCCCACCCTCCCTGTGAGCACAGTGTGCTCTGATTGGTTGGGACACGTAACATGAACGGCGCGGTCCCGTGGGTTAGATGCGCGTTCATAATACAGAGGGAAATAACTCTCAGAATAACGTTATTAGCACATTATTACAACTTGAGGAACGAATGTTTTTAATAAGGGCTATACAAGTGTTCATACTGGGTAGTTTATTTAGTTTTAAAAAAATTATCCAACGATTTACAGACCGATCTTTCCCCATGTAAGTCAATGGGAAAAAGTGTTTCCGGGCCTGGCAACCAAACAGAAGTGTAGTACCGCCATTTGGCCAGCACGAATATTTTCATCTGAGTCCAGCGCACTTCCTGGGGGCTTGGTGCAGCCCCATTGAGACACGGGCTGCTTCTCAGGTCGATTAAATGAAATCCTTGCTTCCCTCACTTGCGTCGTTTCCCTGCGTTTAGTCCCTCCCACCAGGGAAGCATGGAGAGATGCAAGGCAACCACGAGAAGCAGGGAAATGAGTTTTAAGAGCAATGGGACATCCTTTCCTCCGGAGCGTCACGTGAAGCGACGTCCGTTTGTGATGACGCTGCACAGCTGATCGTCTGACAGCAGGGGCCCATTCCAATAGTCCATTTAGCTTAGGAACCTTCCTAACCAAGTGAAATGACCCGGAAGTACGTCAGTGGCAGCCATGATAAGTGCCGTTCCAATTCGCCAAATGAAAGGAAAGGAGGTTTCAAACTTCCTTTATAACCTCCTTTGGCTTAGGAACCACTGGACCTCCCTAGCCGAAAGGAGAGGAGAAAATGCTGCCCCACAATGCATTGCAGCCTTAGCATTTGCCGTCACTCAACAGTCGGCCGTTCACGGACACAAACGATAATGGGAGAAATTATATCATGAAAGTTACGGTGCTTATTAAGCATTTTAAAACGTATGTGGTAAGTTGCCAAAGTGCTTTGTTTTGAACGTTCATCAGTATTATAATCAAAAAGAGAAATATGAACGTTAGTTTTTACTGAAATGATCAAATAAAGTCAACATTTCACTGAGCTGTGTGGGGTTGTTCAACTTTTAAAAGATGTTTGAATGGTGATATACAGTGATAGATATTAAGGACTAACGTTTATAATAAATACATTTGTATTGATTTTAAGATATTTTCATAGTTCATACAATCATACGTATTGGGATCATTTGTATTAATGTGGACCGGAGGGAGAGGGTGACGAGCATAAGTTTCACTTTCCTTTTTTATTTCAATTCCAACTTTGGTCATGAAGAATATGTTTCTCTGTTGTCCACATTCATAACACAACAGCATCAGAGCACGGTGCAGAGTCTCTAGATGAGTCCCTCGTTCTTATTAAACATCCATGTTGTAGTCCGCTGTATAGACAACTGTAGTTTCCATAGTTTCCCCACAGCAGCAGACGCACATTCATGACGTCCGCTGGCGCATCATAAACACGTCGGATAGTGAAAGTGCATTCGGATTCTCTAGTACCACAGTCTCTTCTCTTAAATCCTTTTGAATTCTCCTATCCACTATCCCTTAACCCCGTGACGTTTCACTCAGAGGTCAAGGAATAGGAGATAGGGTTAGAATTTAGGAGCTAATTTTTGGATTATCGGAACGCAACCCAGCTCTGTCCCCGTTATTTCCACACACACCCCCCCGCCTCTGTTAGTACACATTTACTGACACAAACATTTGTATCATCTGTTGTAGACCCCAATAAATAAAATAAAATAACAACTAATTCTCAAAAAAGATAAACGCCAGTCTTAAAATGTATAAACGAACAATAGTTTGATTAATATTGATTAGAGTGCACAATAGAAATAAAATAATTGAGAGAAGAAAAAGAGATATGTTATCTATCAAAACCCAGTTAGATTAACATTCATTGGATTGCACACTTTGTTTATTTGTGTGGATATGTAGTAAATTAACATTTTAATAGCACTTAATGACTGACTGAATGGAAATGACAATACATGAAAATGTAAAACGAAAAAAGCGATCATGAAAATGTTTCCAAAAAATGAATTAAATGATTTTTGACCACTTTGTTGTTCAGATATATCACATATTTGTAACTAAATGATACATGAATTGAAACAAAACACGGTATAAACTGAGGAGTGACTCCCGTGAGGTTCATGTATTTTCTTCACTCTGCTCTCATGTCAAGAAGCATCAGATCAGTGCATGCGTCCAATCAGTGAGCGATACACAGTAAGGGGGCGGGGTGAGTATCTGAGGATTTCATCGGAGGATGGTCTGGTGGTTCCTCGGTTATCACTCCTCCATGATCGCTCCTCGCTCCTCGATCCTCGGTCCTCCGGCAGAAATAAGAGCCATGGGACGGTACTCAAGATGGCGCAGGCAAATCAACTTCCGGTGAGACCGAGGAGCGAGGAAATTAAAATAGTCGACCTGAGAAGCAGCCACGGCCATGGTGAGTACAAAATAAAACAGGAAGTGGAACATAAACTAAACTAACATGACAATCACAAGCATGACAATACTAACATATTTGACGTGACACAACAAACAGGAAGCAAGTCAAACAGATCACTTATATCCTTTCTTCTTGTTCAGTTCCTTCTTTTTTTCTAAAACTTGTATTTTTTCATCAACACATTTTACAGTAACGAATGTAATGAAAGTAATGAAAGTCCTCTCTACATTTAGTGATGGATTTTTTTATGAAGTAATGAAAGTCCTCTCTACATTTAGTGATGGATTTTTTTTCTTTATAACAAAAGTGTAAAAATGTAACCCTAACCTTCCATATACAGTATTATTCTTGTTTTTTTTACAGCATTAATAAAGTCCAAACATGGAGGGTTTTTAAACTGACACATCAGGATGCAATATTTTTTATTTTACTTAAGTAGGAATACACATTCTACCAAGCAAATGTATCTTAGTATATTATTTCTTTACTGTAATATTTATTTTTGAACACACCCAAATCTTTCTTAAGGTACAAGCTGTTTGTTTGTTTTGTTTAATATATGTTTTGTTTGTTTCAAGGACTGAGCACTTAACTGTAAGATTTAGATGATAAGATACATAGTTTTATTCAGACATCTTTCAGTGGCAGTTGCATTCTGACTCAACTGACTGGAGGTCACTTTCCTGTTCACCTTTCTTATTTATAAAATAGTTTTTGATCACTCACCAGGAAGCTCTGTGGATGGCTGCTTCTTCACGATCCTGACTTCAGAGCAAGTGGTTTCATGCGGTGCCGATGAGGACGCGCTGCCTGCCACACAAACCACGAAACAACCCAACTTTCTGTTAAATGAGCTCTGAATATGTACACATTCACATTTCACTCAAATGACAGAAACACATGCGTCTTTTCTTTTTTAGAAAAGGTAGGTTTTTGTTTTTAGGAATAGATAGATAGATAATTAGATAGATAATTATAGGACTCACCATGAGTATTTCCCTTGTCTCTTTTGAACTTTACATCAGAGTACACAACTTCAGCTTCAGGCATTGTATCGCTGTGATCATCAGTGTCTTTAAAAGGGAAAGGAACGCTTCACTGCACACTGTTAAATTGGTAAAGAAAATGCTGGGGGAGGGCTTTATACAGAGTTCCTCAAAATCTAACAAATGTTATATCAGTTATTGGTTTGTATTTTACTGCCAGCTAAATAAATAAATAATTTGATTTGAATTGTTTTGTCAAGATAACTTCAGTAAAATTATATTTGTGAACATTTTTGTCAATTTATTTGGATTTCTTCACAACTACAAAGAAAAACAAATACAAAATATAAGAATATAATAATATAATACAGAATATTACAAATAATTAAAAACATACTACATATAAATATTATCATATACTTTATAGAAATGTTACACGCATAATACATACATTCCTGATTTAAAAAAAGTAAAACATGTGACATCTTACATTTTTAAAATACTAAACACATTTGACAACAAAAAGTATGCAATAATGAGCAGCAACTAATCAGAAGAAAACATTTGACTGAGAAAACAAAAAAACCTTAATTATATCATCATCAATTGTTTCACGATTTTTTATTTGTATTATAGTTTAATTTAATTTAATAAAAGAAACATTCCTGATGGAATCCATGTCGGATATTACCCAAGAGCCGTCACCCAGATTTCCTCCAATCAACGCTCACAATTAGTGATAGAGCAGTCTCGCGGCCAATCACAACAGCATTAGGGGGCGGGGTTTAGTGCTGTAGCACGGAGGCGGAGACGTGTCCTTTCCTGGCTGAACTTGTGTGAGGTGTCAGTAGGACGACAGACAGACTTTATTAAAGTTTCTGCCCTGCTGGTGTCCCGCTCCAGACATGCCCCCCAGCGCGCAACTGAAGGAGGCGATAGCCGATGTGCAGGAGGGGATCCGTGCCATCCTGCTCGGACCCCCCGGAGCTGGGAAGGGGACTCAGGTGAGAGGAGGGGAGCTAACAGAGCTAGCTGTTAGCCCTTTGCGCATGGTCGGTATTTGTACAAGCTAATGCTAATGCTAACACATCTAGTTGAACTGGTTGTGTTTGTGACTTCAACTCTTAGAAAAAACACCTGCACTCTGTGTTGAGATGCGTTTTATTATTCTTAAATATGTCTGTCAGTTTCATATTAATGTTAACAACTATAACAACCTCATTCAATACCCGAGACATACGAAATATAAATATAATGAGGCTATGTTGTCTGAGATGTCATGCTAAAATTCTACAGGTGTTGTTTTTGTAGCAACTGGGTAATACAGAGGAAGTTTAATTCCTACGTCTTATCAAGTATATTCAATCATTTATCAATTGTGTTTAACTGAAAAAGCAGAAGATATTACAAAAGTTGAAAATATTATCAAGCCTAATTTTTTACCTCCTGAAAGCCACATTATAGTTGTTTTGAGGTGTAGTCAATGTCTGCTTATACCCTTAATGTACATGGTATGTTTCTATAGAAGTTGTTATCACTTAATATATATTTATTTACAACATACAAACATGTAAGTTTGTTACAAGAAAGAATACTTTTTACAAAGGAATCAGGTGGTGTTTCTTAGCTTTAGCCGCGCATGTTTGTATTGTTTTCCAGTTAGGGTGGTTTCTATTGCTCCTCGCTCAAGCTTGTCAGACCTTGGTTGGGAAATGTTTCTTTCCTAATTCTCCATAAGAAAAACAGTTATTCTTTTGAGCTTCTTTCACCAGTATGGGGATATTTGATCCATACCATGTTTAGCTGTATGAGCTGCTAACTCCCAGGAACTTAAAACTATTCACGTTTCTTTACCACACCTCTATTGATAAAGACATGTGTGTCTGTGTCCTCTTCTCCTTTTATTTGTCTTACACCATTCAGTTTCTTGCTTTTGCTGATGTTGATTCAAGTACACAATAAAAAACAGGCGTTTTCTTTCTGCGTACAGATCAACAGATAAAAAAAGTTATGGTCAAACTGGTTTTCTTATTTACTGCTGTCAGCGTTCAAATGGTTTGGATACTTAGAAAACTCACTGCATTGTCTCCTAAGATGTTCAAGTACATCTTTTGTTCCTTTTTATATATTTTTTAGCATTTGTATATAGTCATCGATAGTGTATAAAATGCATTTTGTTAAAACATATGAGATAACTGGAAGGATTTCAACCATAGACTGTATTTGAGAAGTGGACCTAATCCATGTATGCCACCCATTGATTTGTCGACTTTGTTTTTGTAGCCTTCAGTTTGAGGTTTATAAGAAAAAGACCATAGTTCCTCACAATCAAAAAATAGTTTAATGGCTGATTTATTGTTTTAGGTAAGATTACGCTTTATTACAGGTACTGAGACAACAACATGTAGTTGGCATCTACAGAAATGAAAAAAGACCAGAGTATGTTAAAGCATTTATAGACATTTGAAAACTTTTTTTAGCTATGAATACACCAACATACTTTAAAGGAAGAAAGGTAGGAAGTGCAAATCGCGTTATTCACATAAAAGCCTGTTTATAAATGTCAGTTTTTCGAAGGGATTTAAAAGTTTAAGCTGATTTTGGTACACTGTTTAATTCATGTAATCCAACAATTAAAAAAACAAAACAGCGATTTTAAAATCCAAAACTAAAGACAGTGCTATGTCTTCGGTACCGGTGTGTGTTATCGTCTGCCGGTTCTATCCTCAATCGCTGTCACATTCACTCTGCAGATTCTTAAAAAGGAATTACAACATTATTTTCATGAAATTCTTGATTTTCTCATGCGTTCTGTCTGGTCAAGCAAAAACTTTGGACGTTTCAACATTTCTCAGAATACTGAAAATTCCTCTATCAAGTTATTGTTTAATATCTGATTATTGTTTTAGATAAGATTAAACTTTATTAGAGGACAGGTGAGGATTGAGTACTAGAATTTTCCAGAGTACCAAGTATTTTCTAAGGCTCTATGTTGATGTTGAAGCCCTTCATGTTCAGTCCCACATGACTATATGTCTCATGTTTTACTTGTGCTCGATGACATTTACACATAAATTGGCGCGTAAGAAAACATTTTTAAGTAGGAGCTCAGGCTTATATGAAGAAAATAACAATGTAACTAATACTCATCTGCATAAGCAACATCTGCTAGAGAAAGTTTGTGCAATGAAGCCTGAATATGTAAAATATTTTATCTGTTAGGTTTCTGTGGTGTAATAGCTGGTGGATTTTTATCAAATTAGATTTTTATCTAATAACTGTTCACATCACAAGCAAATGGTTCCTGCTTTAATGTGGGGATTTGTTTTGGGTTTTATATCATTATACATTAAATCATTTGGGTTGTAAATTGTTAGTCGGATAAAATAAATAATTTAAAGATGCCCTATTGTGATAAGCAGAGATTGAAATTTCAACCTTTGGCTGCGCAAGGAAAACATGGCAGATGGGTTTTCTTGATATAAAGGTTACTGATTACGTGTATCCATTGCTTCAGGAAGTCCAGCTGTCCAAAAAGTTTTCTTAACGGCACGTAGTTGCCTTTGCCTGTAAGAACCCAGCATAACATAATTCAGATTTGTATTGTAACTTTGTAGGACACAGTAACTTGTGTGGTGACACCAAAACATTTTCTCACTGAACTCCCTCAGTCCCACAGTGTTGTCTTGTCAGAGCAGTTACAAATAGACCGACCTATGCGCTGGCATTACCTCAGTGTGTTCAGTCTCTCTGACGCTTTACGTCCTCTGTTCTAAGTAGAGCTCTCCTAAGATTGACTAGTTTTGGAGATGCATTCCTGTCTTTAGAGATGAAAGAATAACTCAAGCCAGAAGGAGTGAGAAAATGTATTGATCATTAATCATTATTGATACATCTGACAAGGAAAATCAGGAAATCCTCACTGAAGAGGCTTGACAATAATTGTAGTATCACTATTTCTTGTTGAAAAATGACAAACAGTTAACCGATAATCAAAAACCCTTTCCAATTATTTTTAATTAATCGTTTTATTGGCACAACTAAATAAGTTGTGGCTTGGCATGAAATCCAAGAATCTCTTCTGGTGAAAATGTTTGAGTCTGACAGCAAAAAACACAAACAGCTTTCATTCTTCTCGCAGCGAACAATGCAGAACAAATCCCCTGCCAAGCACTTTCTTCATCTGTCAGGGTGGTGGTGATCATCTAAAGCTCTTAATCAATCATAAATGTCTCTTGTTCTCCCTGCAGGCCCCGCGGTTAGCAGAGCGGTACTGTGTGTGCCACCTGGCCACCGGGGACATGCTGAGGGCCATGGTGGCCTCCGGCTCGCAGCTCGGCAAGAGGCTCAAGGAGACCATGGACGCTGGCAAACTGGTAACTATCTGCTTCTCATGATCTGTGTGTTTCCTTTCTCTGCCTCTTCAGACCCCTCTGAGGCTCTGTGTTGATGTTACAGCCTTTAATGTTCAGTCCCTCATGACTTCATGTCTCATGTGTTTGTCTTCAGGGACATTCACAGCTGAAATGTCTCTGAAACACAAGTATGCAACAAGTGAGAGACAGAAAACCACACTTTTTCTGAGAAATGTTAATCTTTTGACTTGGAGCACAGCCATAAATTGAGAAGTGTAACACTTACTAACACTTATTTGCATAGCTGCTAATGGAGTTTGTTGAATGTAATTTAGACTGATCGATACTAAGTGGTGTTTGAAAAATGTTTTGACTACCCTCCATTTCTTGGCATGCATGTGGTTGTTCAGTACTCATGTGTGCAATGTACGGAGGGAAACTAAAGGCAGTGCTATGTCTTCGGTACCGGTGTGTGTTATCGTCTGCCAGTTCTATCCTCAATCGCTGTCACATTCATGCCTTTAATGACTCAGTGGAGTCCATGGAGGGGTTTCCTCTGCAGATTCTTAAAAAGGAATATCAAAGTTCTGTTCCTGATGTGTGTTTGTGTGTGTTTAGTACGGTGAGTCTTTCTGAACTTGTTGCTCTCTCTGTCTCAGCATGCGACTGATTTCCTCAGAGCTGTTTGTCTCCTCTCCCTTTATTTACTCCCTGTGTGGCCGGGGAAGAAATCCCTGTCCACATGTTGTTTTCTGGCTCTTGTGCAGAGCTGATGCTATGCAGATAAAAAGATGGATGAGGATATGTTGCTGTGTTTCAGGTCAGTGATGAGATGGTGGTGGAGCTCATAGAGAAGAACTTGGACACTCCGCCCTGCAGCAAAGGCTTCCTGTTGGACGGATTCCCTCGCACAGTCAACAAGCAGAGATGGTTAGTGTTTATAAAGGACATTATTCTCAGCACCTCTATTCACCCTCTGTCTGAAATCAGAGCCCAGTCTGCTTTGATTGGTTAGCTGGCCGGCTCTGTTCTGCTTGGTCAACCGTTTAGAGATATCCCACCCCCTTAAACTATCACATACAATGTGTTCAAGCGCTAGCCAATAGAAGTGCAAGTGTTGCGTAGTGATGTCACTGTGTTATGTGTGTGTGGTAGAGAAACTCCCTCTGTGGGGAACTTTGTGGTTTTAGCCTTTGCAGACCATTTACATGCACCAAAACTTATAACACTCTACAGGAAAGGGAAAACCCCCCTAAAACATTATATGACCTCTTTAATGTGATGTTATACTTTCTGCTCTTATCTTGAGAAACAAAACTGTACAGTAGTTTCACATTTTGGTTTGTGTACAGATTAAACAAACGAGGTACAAAGTGTTGTTAAAGTGAGTTTGAGAGGTTTTGGTCTATTTTGTACAGAGTCAGGCTAGCTCTAGCTCAGTCCATCGATCATCTGATCTGATTGAATGTTGGATTCCATGCGTACTCTCGCAATTTAAACAACATCATTGAAAGGGAGGCTACAACGCAAGCAGGACAAACTGTTTGCGTCGCTTTCTTAAAATGTAAGGTCTAAACCAGGGGTGCCCAACCTTTTTTTAACCGAGAGCTACTTTTAAAGTTGCCAGTCTGCCGAGATCTACCAGTCCAAATAGAGAGGCGTAGCCATTACTGACAGCCTACTACCAGGTAAATACACACTTCTACTTGTATAAAACTGACCTTTGTACGATTAATACTTCATAAAATACTGCAGATCATTTATCTTACCTCTTTCTAATCTACACACATACAAGTATTTAACTGAAGCTACACAACAGTGTTGTTGATACAGAGTTGGAGTTTATTCACACGTCACTACAGTGGGTAATGTTTTCAAGAAACATTGAACAGTGCTGCCACATATGACACAGGAACAAAAGAAAAGACTCTGAACCCTTTCTTTGCCATTATATAAAAATAGTGTTGCTACAAAAGTATAAATGAGGCTTACTAATAAGACAACTCAGATCTGAAGCTGCACAGGAATCTGCTGCCAAAGTGCAATAAAAAAGACACAATTAATAGAATCAAACCCTTTTTTGTTGCATTTTAGTAGAGTATACAAAGAAATGCCTTTAAAATAGGAAGCAAGCAACACTAGTTACTTAACCTGAATTGATGATAGACTATAATCAATTTAAGTTTGCATTCTTATACAATTTTGTACAATAATTATAATGAATAAGTTCAAACAAACTCAAACTTACAGCTGATTAATAACGGTATCTAACTTGAGTTTTTATTATATCAAAAACCTGTTGAAATGCTGCTGTTATTTTTATTATGCATCGGCAGCCTCCAGGAAAGCTTCTTTCACAACTTCGCCGTCTTTGAAAGACTTCATGTGTTTCTCAAGAACGTGACTGACACGATAAGATGCTATGGGAGCAGCCTTGCTCTTGTTGTTGGGCCTGGTGGAAATGGACTGCTGTGCATTTAGCTGTCCTTTCAGGCCCCTCCCCTTTTGGGAGCGTAGGGCAGAATCAGGAGGGAATTCCGTCTCGTAGCGTTTGTGCACTGTTTTGAAATGCCGCTCCTAAATTACCCTTCTTCGATAAAGCCACGCTCGCATTGCAGATGAGACAGATGGACTTTGAATTGGAATAGATACAAAAATAATCATCCTCCCACTCGGAGTGAAAATTATATATGTTTTGCTTCTGCCATAATTGCGGTCTTGTGTGTGTGCGGACTGTCACTCCTGTTGACACGGACAACGTTAGCGAACTAGTGCACACTGCCCACTGCTCACCAGCCACGCCCCGACACATGGGGTCACGCTGGCCAATCACAAAGCTTTGATGCGTTCAAGTGCATTATTCTGGCACAGGAAGATTATGTTACAGGACATTAACGATAAAACAGAATATTGTTGTTCTATTTTTAGACACATCCCGCGATCGACTGGGAATCTCCCTGCGATCGACTGGTTGGGCACCCCTGGTCTAAACAAATATAAAGACCAACAGAAAGATGGAAAGATACACCCTACATTTTAAAAACTATTATAAAATGTAGGATTATTTCTAGTTCATCACACTCAAGACCTCCACTGGCTTCCTGTCTCCCATCGCATCAACTACAAAATTCTGGTCCTCACCTACAAAGCACTCCACCATCTGGCCCCCCCTTATCTCACAAACCTTCTCACTCCTTATCAACCCCCACGGCCCCACAGATCCACCGCAGCCGGACTCTGCAGCTTTGGGGACAGAGCCTTCTCAGTGGCAGCTCCTAGGCTCTGGAACTCCCTCCCCCAAGATCTCTGTGACTCTGAGTCCCTCACAGTCTTTCAGTCCCGCCTCAAAACACATCTTTTCTACTCTGTCTACCCATAATCCCCCCCTC